AAATGTTGTTTTAATGTGTTTTTATATTGTGAGCCGCCTTGGGTCCCTCTTGGGAGAAAGGTGGGATAGAAACAAAATAAGTAAATAAAATTTAAGAAAACTAACAACAATGATGGTATTGCTCAAAAAGGATTTTCTTGGTATGATGACAAATTATAATTTATTCACAAATCTGAAAGAGTTATCTCATTCTTATACTTTATGTTGGTTCTTTAGCACAGAGTCATCTTCAAGTGGGCTGGAAGTAATCCAAAGCTTCCACTGCCCATTTGCTTTCTCCAAGAAGCCGTACAGCTCTCATTATATACATTGGTGATGATGGGGGTGAGAAGTGAATCAAGAAGCAAGAGAGGAAACAGAATAAGCTTTTGTAGAAGAATGGGGCCATTTTGTTTCCTTCTTTCAGATCAGCTCCCAGAGCAACCATCAGTCAGCCTTTCTTCTTCTCATCCCGTCCAAGCCTCAGGAAGCCTGCCCACCTGCTTGTCAATTACCAAATGCAAACTAAACTTTCCTTAATACTGGTGACACCATCATTCCATTGTTCCATTCAAATCTGAGTTAAACTAGTAAATTAATGAATTAGAAAAGCCAGGAAAAGGAAACAGGACTGACAAGGATTCTTCCTGGTAAGAAATAATGCCCATTTATTTCACCTATACATTCCTCTGCAGATGAATCTATCTGCTGCATGTAAAGATGTTGCACTTCCCAACCAATGCATGACTGCACAAAGCTGTTTTATATTGAGTCCACAGTTTCAGTCTGAAGTTTCGCCAGCTCTAACTGGAAAGGCCAGGGATTGAGCCCACAAACCTTCTGCATTCAAAGCATTATCTCTCAGCTACAGAAACCGCTATCCCCAAATCCTGGAAAGGCAAAAAAGCAAGAGTAGCACTAAAACTGGAAGGGGTGAATTAAAATGTTTAGAAAGACAGAAGGACTAAGACTGTCATATACTGGGAGAGTCCAATAATAATTCTACTTTTATCAACAGCATCCTATTTGGTTTGTCTTATAGAATGTTTTTTAGTCACAGGGAGATCAACCATACTTTTGTGATGTGACAAAGATAGTTGCCTAGTCCCAGCAGCTGGTGAGGCATCCTCCCTCCATTCCAGCTGCCACTGCTGTGGCCTCTGAGGGAGAGAAGAGCCATCAGGAAGAGACTAAGGACCACAGAGACCATCATGGGGCTGTAGGAAAGCTGCTGTATTTGCTACTGCCTTGGACCTCTGCTCCCTTCAGAGGTCTTGTTCTTTGCAGGACTGAAGCCCTCACTCAGCAGGCACTGACCTCCACCCAGCACAGCTGCCTTGCCTGGTTGACCTATAAAAACAGGACTTCGAGGGAGGCCTTACCATACAACACCCAGCAGAGAGACTGAGGACCACAAAGACCAGGGGTAGGCAACCTTTCCCCTTTAAGGGCCGAGGGACTTCAGCTCCCAAGATCCCAGGAGCTATTGGCCAACATGGGACTATAGGCCAACATGGCTGAGGCTTCTGGGAGCTGAAGTCCCTCAGCCCTTAAAGGGGAAAGGTTGCCTACCCCTGACAAAGACCATCAGGGGGTTGGCTGTAGGAAGGAAGAGGCTGCTGTGTTTGCTACTACCTCTGTTTCTCTGAGGTCTAGCTCTTTGCAGGACTGAAGCCCTGATTCAGCAGGCACTGATCTTTACACCTGCACTTTATTCTTGCACTAGGTATAGAGGGCAAAGGTTTGTCCTTTT